ATTTACTGACTACCAGGACATCACCTCCAGCCTTACAGTTTGTGACTACATGGCCAGTATCAAGGGCAGTACCATTCAGCCCAGACTTTTTATGTTCCCATCTGTTGTAGAAAGCTTCCAGGTTTTCTATGAAAGCAGCTTTGATGTTATCCTCTTTTAATACCCTTGTGATTTTAGTCCACAGTTTTTCCTCATTTGGGCATACCCAAAAACATTTCTCTTTTTTAATCTTTGTAGCTAGTTCGGGGATACTGAAAGGGAGCGTGACACCAATTTCCCAAAAATGACAATTATCCAGGGGAACCCCTTTTTTGTTTTGACTGACCACAGACTAAAAACAAGCTTCTAATATTTAAGGGTTTGATTTACTGCAATTCTACTAGCAACCTCTTAAATATTTTTTTAAAACCTTAAATGAAGCTCTAATTTGTATTTCTGTTTCTAACTCTTTTTGTATATTGGACACTTACCGCACTTTCCCTGTTTTTTAAATTTTTGGTTTAAAGGGCCCCTACCCCCCCATCCGTTTACAGCTCTTTATTGTCCAAACGAAACTGTTGAAACCATCCCGGTTTTCGGACCAGTCGGGGTTGGACCAGTCGATCTGCTCTGATCAGTGGTCATTATTTAAAACATACTGGTGGGTGTTTGAGTAAAACACATAAGGATCTACTGGAAATTTCTACCCGATAATATGTGATTTGACTGATAAAAAAGTATAACTTGGTTTTGAAGAGCGGGATTCTGCACTCCACAATACGTACGTCGACCTCTTTGTTTACAATCGCTGTATCTGGCTTTTTATTTTTTTTTTTTTCCCCGTCCCCACCACAATAAAAGCTATATTTTACTATGTTTTACTGGTGCAAATTTTTTTAGGAAAAAGGGCGCTTTTTCTGTAGTATAATTGCTTCTTTGTGTATATTGCGACCCCCTGGTAACTACAGGGTTTATGGGAAATTCACATAAAGTTCGTATTTTAAAAAAAAAAAACTAATGAAAGTCACCCCCTCCACTAAGTACCATTATAATACGGTTAGATCTACTACAAAACCCGTATTCTGCTATTCACTGGGATACTGTTTTATGCGAGTACCTACAGGCCGGGAAAATTATTAAAACAGCTGACCTTGGGAAGTTTTCTGGCGACTTTGGCACCCCTCTATAGGCTTATCACTTCATTTTCCAAAATTCACCTGTTTTCAAATACACTTGCCTTTTTTCTCAATAATAGGGAGCCACTGAGTATACCTATACACTAATTTTAAATCAATGCTTTTAGGGGGACTTTCTTCCTCGACCAAAGTTCAATTATTTTTATTTTTTTTTTACCGGGGAAACAGCCTATGATTCCCCCCTTGGCGTAAAACTCTGCTAGGTAATGCACCCTAAAACCCTTTTTTTATCAGTATAAAGTTTTCCGCCCAAAATTGGTTTTAGGGGCTAAGGGATGTATCTATAGGATTGATGAAACAAAAAAGTCTAGCAGGGGGGGGGCGACCGTGAAAAAACCGAAAAAACCGGGGGAAACGAGGCACCTGACAGTCAGCCCCCACGTAGTTACTAATTATCATATAACAGGTATTTTTGTTTTTTTTCTTTTTTTTTTTTTTTATTTTTTTTTTTTAAAAGTTTTTTTTTTGGTTTTTTTTTTTTTTTTTATTTTTTTTTTGTTATTTGTTATTTTTTTTTTTTTTTTTCATGTTATTTTACATAGCAGTATGTGTGTAGTTACATAGATTATTTTACATAGCAGTGTTGTGTAGTTACATATTACAACTAATGTATGGAGTTACATAATTTCATACGTAAATGTTTTTAGTTACAAGATTTTTTAAAAATAGCAGTTGTGTGTAGTTACATGTTAATTTTAAAAGCGTGTATGTGTAGTTACAAGTTATCTACATACGTGTTGTGTAGTTACAAATTATCAAAAAACAGTTATGTGTAGTTACAAGTTTTCATACATAGCGTTGTGTGTATTTTCAAGATTATTAATGCAGTGTTGTGTAGTTACACAGATTTTCATCAACGTTTGTTAGTTTTAAAATTATCAACATAGCAGTTAAA